TGATCAAGCCAATCAACTGTCTCACCTATTCAGAGGGCCTGATCCAGCTGGGGGCCCCTCAGCCTTTGGTTCATAGTTCATGTGTTTCCATTCATTTGGCTATTTTTTTTCAATAATTGAGTAAAACCGAAATTTATTATAAGCCACTGTCGTCCTAGGGACCTCCATGCTATATATATAGCCTCCATGGTTGAGAATTAACTTATAACTCAGTCATTTGGTGAACTTTTCTCCCTACTCTGGGAGTCTCTTATAATCCCACATGTGGTAAGATATTTCAGTGAACAATAAACTCAGCTCACAGCTGCTGTGTTTTAGGTAAAGTCCAGGCACCCTCGAAGCCTTGTCCCGTAGATATTTGGAAATAAAGAGCCAAGAATTCAGATAAGAAGCATCTGAATGCACCCACCCCTCCCACAGACAGCAGGCCACGTTAGTGACAAGAGAGGACTATTTCCAAAGGAACGATGGAGAGGGAAGAGTCTGGGACACTGAGGCTCTGGGACACCGTGATTAGAGTGAGGATGAAGAGGAGTGGACGGTGGAGACTAAGGAAAGAGAGGCAGGAAGGAGGTGGTGTTTGCTGCTGAGTGGAGCCTGGTGCTAGGCCTGCGGGGCAAACTCCAGACCTGCTTATGGCCGGAAGGAGAGAGCGGACCGCCTCAGCAGTGGTGAGGTAGGGTGGTGGTTGGTGTTCTTATGGACAAACTTGGAGAACTGGGTAGAACCCACACTTTCCTTTCTCTGACTTGAAGCATAGGTGATTATTCATCTTGCTTCAGATGAAAAGGACCAGGACTCCTGGCACTGGAAATGACCGCTGCCCACATTGCCTTGCTGTGACTGCTCCACAGCCTCTTGCTCCCAGGTCTTGGGCTGATAAAACCACTGCCTATCACAGCAGCATCCCATGAACTGGCCCCATGCCTCTATCAAAGCAGACCTGGGGCTCCCTCTACAAACGGTCTCTGAGTGCTCTGTCTTTGGGATTAAAATACAGATCTTGTAAGCACTTGTAAGTTCCGTTGGTGTGTGACATTTGCTTTGCTGTTGTAGTTAGCAGTTGTTAGGCCTTTAAGCAGCTATCCAGATGATGACAGACGTGACCCTGGTACTGTCACCGAGAACAAGGGAAGATGCCCCAGAGGGACAAGACCAGATCAGTTACCCATAAGAAACCATGGCTAGTCATCATGAAGGGGAGCTCTGAAAGCCTAATCTACTGTCCAGATCCTCGGTCATCCAGTTGGTTCTCTCAAGACTCTCCTGTGTAGGAAACATCCAGGCTCTGAGCTGGAGATAGTCATCCAGACAACATGTCCAACCTCAGGGGCAGCACCTCTGTCAGGGTAACCCTTGTGACAGCCCATATATTCATCACACTTCAAGCCATAACCACTCCCAAACCAGGCTGCTGTGGCAACATGGGGCTGCGAACCTGTCCAAGTGTTACTGATGAGGTGGAGGTTCCGTGGGCAGGAGCAGAGAGGCGGGGATCAGCCACAGACAGGGCGGCAGTGGACTCGACTTCCGTCTGGGAGTCACCTCCTTCCGAGTCTCTTAAGCTCTTTGGCTTGACCCTGGTTAAGCACTCACTGCACCCAGAGGGGTTGTGTAGGTGGTGGTACCCGCTGGCCTCGGGCAGATCTGTCTCAGACTTGGGCTTTACACCAAGCATCCTGCACAGCCATGTGCAGAGACATCAGGCAGAACAACCGCCTGACACTCCTCCTCCAAAGCCACCCTTCAGGCCAGTGCTTTGCACCCTGGGAGGCAGGAAGCCCGGACAGGAGGAAATGGGAGCAATGGAGGAGTAGGAAAGTGAGCTGATTGGTTCTCTTCCATAACAGCTTGTCGGTGCTTGAGAAGCTAACCTTCGTCTTCCTTGGAAAAGAAAACATTCTCTTTCAAGAAATTTCTGGGGGGAAAAAACAAAACAGGTGTGGTGGTGCACACTTTAATCCCACCACGTGGAGGCAGAGGCAGGCGGATCTCTTGAGTTCAAGACTAGCCTGGTCTACATTGTGGCTTCCAGGACAGGCAGGACTACACAGAGAAACCCTGTCTCCAAAAACAAAAAAGCAAACGAAATTTCTGTTGGGGCTGGAGAGATGGTTCAGCCTGAGTTCACATCCAGCATCCATGTCAGGTTGCTTTACAGCTTCCTGTAACTCAAGCTCCCAGTGAGTCCACGTCCTTCTCTGGCCTCAGGGCACCAGCACATAAGTGGTGCAGATGCACACAAATAAAATAAATCTTTTTAAGTTTCTGTTGAAGGTAGCTGCTAAGAATTTGGACAAAACCATTCTTTATTTTTTACCAATCTAAATACCTGTTGCTTGGTGTGAAAAATATTGCATGTCTTACAGAGAAATAATGCGAAATAAATGTATTTAAACCCCTGCTAACCCATCAAAGTACATGCCCACAGATGACTTCCTGTCAAAGACCCATTAGGTTATATAGGCTTTGCTCTTCTATGTAAAAGTTTGCATATTAGTATCTTTACTTTTCCTATAAAATGAGAAAACAATAGAGCAGGCTAGTGCAGCTCGGTGATAGATTTACTTTTTAAAGCCTGAAATCATAAAAATCTCCTCTCAGAAAATCCAAATGGAAGCCACATGTGTTGGCATACATCTCTAATCCCAGCACTTGGGCGGTAGAGGCAAGGAGGACCAGGAGTTGAAGGTCACGGCATCCCCAGCTACATGAGACTCTGTCTCAAGGAAGGGAGACCAAGAGAACTCTACCCAAATTGTGCATGGTTTGCTCCCAGGACCCCGCACACAGACCGTGTCGCATGAGTCCAGGGAAGATGCAGGGCTCGTTTCCTGTCATTTATGGTGCAGGAGTTTCCTGTATACCGAAGAAAAATGGTTCTGTCATACTTCAGACAGGGTCAGATTTCAAAGCCGTTTGGCTTTGGAGAAGGTCTAAATAAGGATGAATTTAATATGCCTTTATTTATTTTCTTTTAAATAAGAGAGCTCCAGCTGATGTTTGGTCCAGGGCAGTCCACTCTTAACACTGAGGAAAGCCTGTTACCCTACTCCCAGTGGCTTGGAGTCCAAGCTGCACGGACAGAATGCCCAAGGACAGAAAGCTATGTGAAGGAAGCTTTGACAGAAACTTGAAAACGAAGTGACTGCTCAGAGAATCCCAGATCATGCAGGCAGTCACCAGCTCTTGAGAGCAGATAGAAGCAAGTAGACTTTAAGCAAAGTGTGCAAGAGCGGACGAGAACTGGAATTCCTTTCCTGCTCCACTGTTAATGTGAGACGCACAGAGGGAAAGCGTAGGATTTTTTTGATCGCACACTGGGCTAAAAGAGGTGGGGAAGAAAACTACGCTGCTGGAAAATGCCAGGGTGTGTTTGCTAAAGTTGTTATCATGGACTGTGTTTAAAACAAAAATGTAATTGCTGTAATTTATCATGTCTGGCTATAAAAACCTCCATAATTCAAAGATTTTAATCATTTGCCACTTTTACACAGTGACTTTTCATAGATGATACTGTGGAAAAAATCTGATTTTTATCAGCCTTTGTATGCTTTTTAGGGGCTCCTAAGCATGATTAGTATGCCTTAAGCATATCATTGTATAACTAATACAAAAATCCTTATATTTTTCCTTTCGTCTGTTAAATGTCCAGGACTGCTTTATAGTCACTGATCCTAGCATAAAAACGTAGGCTGCTGGTCCTATCTTAACCTGTCCACATACTCCTAGCAACATGGTGAGCAGGGTGGACCTCACCCTCCCTTTAGATGTGGAGAACAGAGGATTCTCCGCTGCTCAGAGACATCTCAAAGATGCAATCTACTGCCTTTGGTGTGTTTGCCCCTTGGTCCTGAGAAGTCAGGTTCATATGTTGTCATCACGGCGAGCCCTGCCTTAACAACCGTTTCGGTTGAACCCTCTCCGGCTGGCAGGAGAGAGGAAGGGAGGAAGGTGATCATACAGCACAGAATAAAGAACTGTGCCCGGATGAAGATGGCCGCTGTGGAGAGAGGGAGGAGATGGAGGAAAGGAATCAGCCACAGACAGGGTCGTTTCTCTACGGAGGGTGTAGGGAACTTAGGAAACATGGCCCATTTCAGTGTAATGTGCAGGCTATATCCATTCACCTCTGTCCTAGGAGAAGCTGCGACTTTCCTAGTTTTGTGGCACTTCATAAAGCCAATCTGTGATTTTAGATACCCTAGGACACAGGAGAAAAGCATGATGATCTAATCCTGTATGTTTCATTAAAATAGAGCATTATTCAAAGACATGTATACAGTTAGTGTTCTGTTGCTGTGAGGGGCACTGTGACCATGGCATCGCTTATAAAGGAAAGTGTTTAATTGGGGCTGGCTTACGGTTTCAGAGGTTTAGTCCATTATCATCATGGCAAGGACCATGGTGGCATGCAGGTAGACATGGTGCTGGAGAAGGAGCTGAGAGCTCTATATTCAGACCCACAGGCCGCAGGAAGAGAACCCCTGGGCCTGGCTTGTGCTTCTGAAACCTCAGCTCATTCCCCAATAACACACTTCCATCAGTAAGGCCACACCTCCTAATCCTTCTAAGTAGTACCACTCCATGATGACTAAACATTTAATATATGAGCCTATGGGGGCCATTCTTATTTAATACCCCCCCAAACACACACAGCAGTTTCCTAAATCACAAGTCAAGAACCACACTCCAGACTAAGCCCATATCATTCATTATGATCGTGGATTCATGTTCAAGAAAGCAGCTCCTCTCTTTACTGAGATAGTAAGGTTTTTGAAGTCTAACCCTTTGAAGGGAGAATTAAAGTGATTTGCTTGAAGTCACAGAAGCCAGGCCTAGGGCATACATCATCTCAGCCCCGGGAATTCCTTTCCCACCACCTTCCTGTCCTCCTCTCTCACCCTGTCCCCTGAAGATGACTCTCCAGTGCTTCCTCGTCCGTCTGACCCCCAGTGCAGGCTCTCCACCTCATAAATAACCAGGTCCTCATTTTGCAGGTGCAAAGTTCCCCATCAAGTGGACAGCCCCTGAAGCAGCCCTATATGGAAGGTTCACAATCAAGTCTGACGTGTGGTCTTTTGGAATCTTACTCACAGAGCTGGTCACCAAAGGAAGAGTGCCATACCCAGGTAAGAGCACAGATCTGGCAAATGGATCTTTGATGGGTTCCCCCTTGACTTCATTTTGTAGAAATCCTGTCTGCTTGCCTTTTTAAGCCCTGTGCTCAGACTTCTGCCAAGGTATTTAGCCAGAGGAATACAGAACCAAGAATTGCTGTGACCTGCACACCGCGCTTAATGTGCTAAGCAGCGGTATAAATGGCCCAGGCCCCACAGGTCAGGTCGTGGAATGTGTCCTGTCTCAGTAGGTGTCACACCTCCTGGAGTAGAAATGTCACTGGCTGAGCGAGCCTGTGCCCAAATGGAGTGTGTAGATATGTCTGGAAAGAGGAGGAGAAAGGTTCCTGTTGCTTTTTGATCACACTGGAGAGCAAGCCTGGCTGGAAGATGCCAGAAGCTGTTCTCTCTGAGGCTCCAACTCCAGGTGGCCCCAGGGCAGAGGCTCGCACAAGGCCGTTTAGTCTGTGCCTGTTGCTGAATGGCCAAATACACTACCCAAAGGGGAGTGTATTGTCAAGGCACTGGAGCGTCGTGGAGCCTGCTTTTGCTCTGGGTTATCATACGCTTCCTCTCTGAAGAAGCCGTGAGCTAAGGTTATCCATGCTTAAATTCATTAACTTAGCCAGATGGAGACAGAAAGGACACTGGGGCCATTCCACCTCTACGCTTTACTGGTTACAGCACAGGGGCAATCTGCTTTTTGAAATGTTAAGGACATATTTTTTAGTTACTGCTGAGCAAAGAAAGAGCATACATAGCTGGCCGCCTCGCTCTCTTCACTCCCCGCCTTTAGAAAAGGAGCTTTTAAAAAGGGAAGGAAAAAGCCCACAGCGATGGAAACGATAGTGGAGATTAATGAGGAATGTAGGTCTCTTGCAAATCCTGGGCTTGTAATCATATCTCTGCAGTCAGAGGAGCCAGCGAGAGCCGATTAATTTGTAATCCCTTTGTTCATTTTGCCTGATTGTTTCTGGTCATCGTCAGAGAACAGAGCAGTGTTTTTAAAGAGCCTCCCTGTCTAGGCTAGTGCAGCCTCAAGACCTCTAAGAGAGCAAGGCTGGCATTGAGCAAAATTAACCAAGTCCCGGCCTCTGAAGTCCCAGCGCCAGCGTTTGTAGGTGTGAGTGTGAGTCTGTTTTATTGATGCTGCTGCTGTGGCTGCGGCTGCAGCTGCGGCTGCTGCCACCAGCATGCACAAGTGGGCAGACACTCTGGGAATAGCCAACCAGCAGAGAAGAAAGGGCTCCCCAGGAGGGGGCGGGGCCCAGCATGGGTGCTTTTGAATTGCTTCTCAAGGAGGAAAATATGCCATCTCCGGATTTTCAAGATGAGAAGGCACTTTTTAAAAAAATTTATTATTGTCTACATTTTGAACTAATTTCTTCCTGATCTCCCCAGGTTTATAGACACCCGGTGTGTTAAAAGCAATCACGGGAAAAGGTTAATGTTGTTTTGCATTTCTGTGAAGCCTTTCCTTCCCGGAATACAAAGCTGCTTTTTTGTTTCCTGGGTCACACACCAAAGCCAAGACAAAGAGGTGGAGGTGGGGGCCTTGGAAGAGGAAGGCAGGTGTCTTCGGAGGCAGATTTTGTCAGGTTGGGCTTTAGCACAAAGAAAATTCAAGTTAGATTACATTCGTTCACTGGGCATCATTCAGTGTGACCTGTGCCGGTGTCTGCTCCCTGGGGAAATGGGACAGAACAAGCCATCCAGCTCTCAGGTGGCGCTGACAGGCTCCTGTCCCAGAGCCGTACTGCTCATGCTGGAGGGAGAGCAGTGAGCCATAGACAAATGGAGTCCTGCCACATGGAGCCTGTGGTCAGGGAGAGTGGCCGTCAGATCAGGAGCCTTATGTGTGCCCTATCTATGGAGGGTAGAGTACTTAAGTATCCCTGCTGTGCGTGTCCCTGACCTCCGTCCCCGTTATGTGGCCGAAGCAGGGACAGAAACAGTCCCTTCATTGAGAGGATCGTGAAAAGAGCAAAGGAGTTTGAAGTGAGAACTGAGTCCAGCATAGTGTGTGGGTTCATGCCTGTCAGCAAATGCTGATCTGCCATAGGCTTCCGGTCTGCAGGGGCCTTGGGGGCGGAGAAGGGAAGTAGGCCAGGGTATGGGGCAGGGGGCTTGCTCACAGTGAGGAAGCCGAGTGCTGCCTGGCATCTGGAAAAGCAGCAAAGATTCGCCCAGCTTGAGGAGCTGGAGGGAGGGTCTGAGAAGAACTTGTGTGAGGTGGAGGACCCGATGCTCCTGGGAGGGGGCGGCGCCTGCCGTGAGGGGCCGTGTGCTGCCACAGAGAGACGTTGGAGCCTCGAGGTTGACTTGATAGGCCCGGGAGCTGGGGGGGGAGTGACGTGACTGCCTGCACCACAGGGAGCCGTCCCGGCCCTGCTCCGATAGCCACAGACAACTCAACTATAATCACATTTAATTGGACTTGTGAATGTGACAGAAAACTCTTCTTGAGGGGGAAGTTCTGCAGAGGGATTGCAATTACAGGATTATTATCCTAACAAAGGCGAGAGTTTCAGGGCACAGACAGTTTCATTAAGCATTATGCAGATGTCACCATGGTGTTGGTGTGTCCCAGTCAGTCAGCACTTACTGAGGGGGTCACCTCGATTCAACTCTCCTGCCGAGAGGAGTCCAGGGCAGAGTCCCAGTCCCTGCTTGTCAGATACTTCCATTCTGCACTTTGACACGGTAATTTCTCAGTTGCCTAGAATGTAATTTCAAATAATTCTCTTCTCAAGAATGGTAGGTGGTGGCAAACTTTGCTGAGGTCTTTCATACCTGAGAATGGTCCTTTGTCACCATGTCACATAGGAAAGGTGCTCTGGCTCGTAAGTGACAGCCAAGTGAGCGAGGGAATGATTTATAAATGAGTTTTGCAAAAGCTGCTCAGATATTTCTGCCCAGCATGAAAGTCAGTCCAGAGCGCGCCTGTGGAGAACGTGAGAGGCGTGACCAATGGAGGGCAGATTAGCAGGAGCTGCCTAGGTAAGGAAGCCCTCACTGAGCTGCCGGGAGACAAAGGAAGGGAAGACAAGAACACTGACACCGAGCACGGGCCTTGACACCGTGGGAGGAATGCTGAGGTGCCCTGAGATTGAAGGGAGCTGGCCAGGTAACGAGGGCCGACACCACTACACAGCACCGCCTCACAGCACAGCTCTGTTTGCTGCATGGCTGCTGCCGCGGCCCGAGCAGGTGCACCCGCATTGCCCAGCTTGCTTTCTGCATGCAGGGTTTAAGCCGCTCTTTGCTTCCAGCTGAGAGCTGCTTCTATACCGACGGGTTGTTGGACGTGAGAAATGGTAAGGCTGACGCCAAAGCAGCTTCCTGGGCTTGATGCATAAAATCACGGCTTTGCAGTTTAGCCCGCCATTTCACCTCCAGAGCCTTTCTCAAATTCCTCCCCGTCTGCCTCCACCGCCACTGCCTGTATCAAGCTGTCGCCACTGGGCAGCGAGCTCCTAATGGAACTTCCTGCCCTCGGTCCTCCCTTCCTCCCTCATCCACCACCGGTCCGTCCTTGTCCCCAGCAGAAATGTTATCCCGGAAAACAGACGAGTTATCTGACTCTGCTCCTAGGTAAAGATGCCCCGCTTCCCTTTGCCCTCCAGATAACTCCGGAAGGCTGCCCCTTGCACAGCGCCTTATCAGCCCTTCCTTCATTCGGTCCACAAATATTTATCGAAGGCCTATTATGTGTTCCAGACCCAAGATTATAGCAGCGAAACAATGGGAAAACTCCTGCCCTCAGGCACATTTTTCTTGAAGATAGACAATAAAGACTAATAAAATATATCCACACTTGGCTGGTAGCACTGAGCGGGAAGAAAAGGAACATAGCTAGGAAACAGGGCAGTGCAAGAGTCACCAGGAGGTGCCCTCTGAGTATAACTGCTGGGAGCCGAACCTGGGCCAGGCGGGTGTCTAGGGCGACTGTGCACCCCTGCAGGGAGGGGGGGCAGGAGGTGTTGAGTCGTGACAGATAGGGCCTTGCAGGGTTGTAAGCAAGTACGCTTTTTCTCTCTTTCTGTTGCTGTTGTTTAATTTTGAGAACATAAAATAATTATCAACGCTTCTCCTTTGGGTTTCCACCCTCTAAACCTCTCACTTAGCCTTCCCTTCCCCACTCCTTCACAGCTGTAGCTGCTGCTGCTGTTTCTTTTTTTAATCAGTTGTCATTGCATGCACATATGTATTTGTATGTACATATATATTCCGAAATGTAACCTGTTGAGTATGTGCAGTGTTACTTGTATTGTGTTTTCAGAACTGACCACTCTGCACAGAACACCCAGTTAGTGTGCTCTTCCCTGGGGAGGGCCATCTCTCTCGCTCCCAGCTTTCCTCAGTTGCCTGTAGTTCTTTGTGTAGGTTGAGGCCTTGTGGGCGTCCCCCCCCCTGTAGTTTACATGTCCGTTGGTGTCCTCCTTGTTCATGTCTGCGGTCATGTGGGTGAGACTTGACAGGTGTAGCGTCTGGTGTCACTAGGAGACACGGTCTCACAGAACCCCCAACCCCTGGCTCCCAACTGTCTTCCCACGCGTTTTCCACAGTGTCCCCTGAGTCCGGGGTGGCGCGGTGTTTTGTAGGTGTAAGCTGCCCCTGTTAATGCCATGTGGAGTGAGCGGTGTGGAGAGGAAGAGCGACAGGATCCCTGCTGACCCTCCCTTCACGTTCTAGCCCGGACACACAAGAAATGTTGGTGTGTGGCAGGGTCTCACTGTGGCGGGCTAGAACCAGCTATACAGACTAAGCTGACCTCCGACTCACAGAGGCCTCCCTGCCTGCCGCTGCCCCCCACCCCACCCCCACCCCACTCCCGGTGTTGGGATGTTTCTTTCAAAGCCCATCTATCTGCAGTTCCCAATGGCTCTGCCTTCCTTGAGGGGAAGGGGACATCACGGTCTACAATTCCCCCGCAGTGTCTGTCCACGGTAGACTCCATGTAAGGAAGGAGTGGATGAATATGACAAGGGAGAATTAAGAACTTACAGGTT